CAGGAATTGCAGAGAAGGGTCTTACGTTATGTTTGGGGTTTTGGGAGGTTGTCATGACCTATATTCGCCGTGGGGGTTTAGGTCTCCTGGCTTTGGGGCCACGGGTGAAGGCCCTCTATGTTAAGCAGCGGTTCCTCAGGGCGGGCGGTGAGATGGGCATCCGGGTGGGTCGGGTAATGATCGACATGCTTAAATGGTGGAGCGGCAGGGGATTAATCGAGTGTGAGGACATGCTGCGTTTGTTATTAAAGTTGAGAAATGCGCAACGGATCCGGGTGGGGCAAATGGTCAGCATATGTTGTCGTTGGGAAATTGTACAGGGATTGTCTGTTTTTCTGCTGTATAATTGGGGGGAAATATGGGACGGATTTTGTAAACTTAAGTTGGCACCAAGGGTTCGTGAATTGGTGTACAGATTTGTCATGGGGATTTTAGCATCAAAATCGGTCTTAAATAGGATGGGTTTGGTAAGGGAGGCGGATTGTTTACGTTGCGGTCTCGAAGAAACAGCTTTTCATGCTGTCTACTTTTGTAATACCTTGGACAAAGTTCGTTCGTGGTTGGGACTGGTTTTAGATTTTCTTAGTGGGGGAACTATCTCAACCTTACGAGCCTTAACATTAGACGTTAGCGGAGTATCAAGTGAGGTACGAAGAGCAATAATGTACGTGGTGGCTGATTTTCTTTATATATCGTGGGGTATGCCGGAAACCGGGGGATCAGTTACGATCAGGGCAATTGCGGCAGGTATCTACAGAACATATTGCAGAAATAAACTCATATATGGTAGAAGTTGGGATAATAGTTTTCCTGCAAACTATCGAAGTCTTACTGTTCAAAGGTTGCTGCAACTTGGGGTGGGGTAAGGCATCGGGGGCTGGACTCCCCCCGTGGTAGCACCAAACGGTGGGTTCGGGACTTAAGGGTAGAGGGCGGGTTTTGGGGAGTGACGTGTATGTATTATGAATGGTTCCGTGCGTCTGTGTGTGTATGGTTGTGGCGTTGTGTGGAACTGAGATCTTGGATTAATCCTAATATGGTCATGCATCTTGATAATACATATAAAAAGCAATATTTCAGTATATGTTCCAGCCTTTGCAAGGCTGAACCGGTTCCCGACTATGGCCGGGGCTTGGTGAAGTATGTTCGGTCTTTCCTGGGATTCCCGTTAGGTTTTGTTTAGTTATTTGTAAGCGGAAGCCTCGCTGATATCACCGCTAAAAGTACACGTTAAACTGTCCTTTAACGGGAATGTTCATAAGCAGACCTTTGGTGATGGTTGTAAACTTTTGATGAAGGGCAAAAAGTTTAATTTGCCTAAGATTGTTTTCGAATATGTAGTAGAGGTCACCTATGTGAGGGGGGAGGGGAGTTGAGATGTATAATGTCCTACATTGTAATCTTTGGGCATTCAAGTTCCTTGGGCAGCACGCTTTTGTGGGATATGTTGTTCTGTCACCCAGTGATATCACATGTATTTATCATTTATGATGCATATAGCCAGCTGATGTTCAATTAAGCACCTGTACTAATTTTACTGTATACATTTTTTTTTTTTTTTGTGGGTTTATAATTAAGTTGAGAAACTAAATATTGGGTTGGTCGGGGTATTAGGTGTCTTAGTGTTTCCTCATATGTAATCATACATGTTAGATCTGTAAAAGTCTTATGTTGATTATTAAAGGTTTTTTGCATATTTTGATTCCTTTTTCAATACATGCAATACCAAAAATAAAGAACACCAGGTTTCAAGTTCAAGAATCATGTGGGTTTCTGATAGTTATTTTATATATCCATAGTACCATTGATTGCACAATGCATTAGTTTACATGACATTCTTTTGTATTTAAAATTTCATACACAATATGAATAAGACTCAGGTTTAGTTATATATTTATTTGGTGTTTAAGGTATGTTACGGTAGTTCTCCGTTTAGTTATATATATTGTTTTTACATAAAATTTTCACGGTTCTTGTTTTAAAATCAATTTTGTATACCAGACATGTACACTGTTTTAAGTCAATTATGTATAATATACATGTATACTGTCTTAAATAAAAATATAAAAAAAATCGCACCTTGAACCTCACAAGAAGTTAAACACTCGTCTCAGAATTCCCACAATCGCCGTCCCTGTTAATGGGAACACGGCTGCTACGTGCCAAACCTTACTATACAATAATACATTTATAACAATCACTCGTTGCACGAGTCAGATGAGGTCGCAATGCACCCAGACGCCCCTGAATCCTTTCCATTAATCTATTAGTTTTCCTCTCGAACAGCGTCCCAGTCATCCTTATAGGTGATAAAAAAATTTTGAAGTCACAGTTTGTTTATAAATAACAAAAAGGCACAATACCGTGACTGGAACGATACACAAATAACCCGCACATAAAAGACAGAAGCTTACGACGACGTTTCGGTCCGACTTGGACCAGTGTGACTGTCAATGGTACAAGTCGGACCGAAACGTCGTCGTAAGCTTCTGTGTTATGTGCGGGTTATTTGTGCACAGTTTGTTTCCTCAACGTTACATCTCCCCCCCCCCCTCCACCCAATAACCCAACCCCATGATAACTGACTTCTCGCTATTTACCTGCATCCCTGTTGCATTTCCAAACTGTTGCACAAAATCTATAACCCCCAACGCCATCCCCTCTCGAACCAGGACTGTTGTATCGTCTACATATCCTATTATTCCAGGCCATACTTTCCCGACCTCCCCCACACCTCCACTCGTGTCACATACACAACGTTCAACCATTCTTTTCTATAGAAGGGGTCCTGAATGCACGCAAACATTTGTGAAATGGGACACCCCTGCCTAAGTCCTCTACCCATTACAATCTCCTCCCCAAGCATTCATTAATCTGTACCCCCATTGTACAACGTGGTTACCCATTTGGACTTATTTGATAGATCTGCGTGTTGTATAGTGTTGCATGTTGGAACCTTCAAAAGAGGGAGGTCCGAAACAGGTAGGGCGTTTTAGTAATTTCAGGAGAATAAGCTTACAGTTCAATGTAAAGGCTGGAGGAGCCTGGAAGGAAACTAACGTTTTATGTCGTGTCTAAGTGCTCCACTGTAGTCTAAACTAGTGGAGGCGCCGGGTGGGGGGGGGGGGTCTTAAAACTGCACCTCCCTTCTGAGGGACTAGAACGTACAGGGCATTCTTCCAGCTAGAGCATTATGTTAAAGGTTGTTGCAGATGGATCTTCCATGGAAGCTGAACCTGCATTTCATATTAGTTATGGAAAGTTGTAGACATGTCAGTCTAGCGTTTTAAGGGATGAAGTGTCGGTTAAGAGTTTGGACAGGCTAGAGCTGCGGCGTATATAGTCTACTATTGACGAAGTGTTCAGAGACCATGGGATCTGGAGATTGGTAATCGTATCCTGGAGGAAATTTTTTTTTATAGGATAAGTGTTTGGTAGGCCAATGGGCAACTTACTTTGACTGGGCATTTGTATTAAATGCTAGTGTTGGCCCCGTGGCAAAAAGCTCTTCACAAGAAGAGGGTCCGGGTTAAGATCCCGGCAAAGGGATGGAAACTCTGGCTTTGTTTTCTGACACCTGTTGTCCATGTTCACCCATCAGTGAAATGGGTACCTGGGTGTTAGTGGAGTGGTGTGGGTCGCATCTTGGGACAATTTGCGGGAAATGTTCAGCCAAACAAGGGGCTTTCTATTTAGTATGCCACTGATGTCTGCTATGGTCTGTATACCTTGCACATGTAAGTAGTCATTGCTTTTAAGCTAGGAAGAGCCGGTGCCTAGCAAGCTCGTGTAGGGGTTTATGGGTCTAAGGGTTGCGAGGTCAACTGAGGAAGGAGATTGCACGTGTTAGTGAACGAAGTGTTCAGACTGTCCCTGGAATGTGAATTCTTTCAAGTGGACTACGTGCTAAACTCGTAAGGGTCTTTAAACTACAGAGATTTATAAAAGTAAATACTAATTAGGATGTTTTAGGGCGTATTTTGTACAAGTTTGACTAAATGAAGTACTAATGCTAGTGGAAGACAATTAGTCATGTCACATTAAGGTTCATACCCAAGTAATAACTATTGACTATTTTTAGTTAAGGGATGCATCGTGCAAGATTACGTTTATGTATATTAAGAATCACTTTGAAACCATCAAATTATCTAGTGACGTCTGAATATTGTCTGCCTAGGTAAACTAGCATTATGTAGTTTTATTCCTTAAAATTCCAGGAATGTCAAATTTAGAACTTTTTGGTAGTTAAATTCTTTACCCAAGAAGGCAGGGTAAGAACTTTGGCCCATGCATGAAGGCTACATCACGCAAAGGCTGGAATGGCGAAGCTGTAGTTCCTGGGAGGGGGGGGGGGGTTGGTGTTTAAAGCTATCAGGGAGACAATGTCAATAAGACAGCCCATCCCGTTTCCCCACCAGAAAAATGGAAGTTTCTAGAGACCGACCATCCCTTATCCATAGAACTGAACAGCCATATTCCTTCACAGTAACCACGACAGGTTTAAAATTCTTAAACATTAATATTTAAAATATAGTCCAAGATAATGCCACAGGACGTAGTTTATTAAGTGGTGGGAGGAAAAAAAAAAAAAAAAAAAGACTGCCCAAGGAGAGGTTTAAGAAGGGGAAGTAAAGTCAGTGTTTCAATTAACAGGTAGAGGCAAAATTAATTACTTCACCCTCGAAATAGGGGAAATTAAGGAAGACTGCTTAAGGGTTTTACAGTTCTTGCGAATTAGCCAGTCATCCTAAGGAAGTCAGGGTTTGCCTGACTAAATGGCATCTTCAGGAATTAGTAAAAGTCTTAATACCTCAATTTATACATTAAGGTAGAGGAACTAACCTCTTCCCCTACCCGTTAAAGGGTTCACGCATAAGCAATTCTATCATTTGCACGAGGAGCGCTAACTTACGGGTCAAGGGTCAAGTTTAGCCAAAGCATGAGGACTAAATTGCATCACAGAAGTCTTCTGTAGACAATTAGGTAAATTAATAGCCATGCTAAATTAAGATTTATTCTTATAACCGGGAACAAAGTATTAACAAGCTGGTGCCTTAAGGAAGAGATCCATAGCCTCTCTGGACATATACAGTGTCAGTCACTGTAAGGTAATCTGTGATAGTGCTCCTTTCTGTATTTACATTCGTCCGCACCAACGTTGATGTGTAGGTTAGTCTGAAAGATAAATAAAGATTAACAGTTGTTGCTGATGCTATTAATTAGAGTTAAATCACTCCCTTACCCACTTATTACATACATCTGAGTGGCAGTGGTGGTGTATGTAAACTGCTTTATGATGTAGGATGTGTGGGTTATTGTTACGTGATCTATGGACACTTCCGTAGCGATTCTGAAGTCAGATTTTACTTCGGTAAGCGTGACCGATGAAGGCCGAAGTACCACCGATGTTTGCAGGGCGATGCGGTCATTAATGGGAGTGCTTAGTACCTGTAAAATATCGAAGTAATTATGTACCAAATTTAGAGCAAATTTATAATTTAGTGCAAAAAGTAATACTTACCAATGTTGTTCCAGTAGTGACTGTTTGCACAATTAAGGAAGTAAGAGTAACAGCTACGCTGTTGAATGCTGTATCAGTGAGAGTAACGAAGCGGTCGATAGTGACAACCTGAGTGATAGTTGGGTTCAAGAAGTTATCTACCCTGTTCACTTGACTGCCGAAGACAGGTCTTCCACTAATAACTTCAATTCTCTTGCTGGGTATTTGAAATTGGGGAACGCTTGTAATACTCTGACGGAAGGGTAGGCTATCAGCTGGACCACTGCCTAAAGCTTGGCCGAAGTTAAGCACTGGGACTTGGCCAGCACCACTGAAAGTTGGACCAGAACCAGTGCCAAAGTTGGCAACATTTGGGCTCAGGGCTGGACGAATATCTAGGCCGAGATTAGAAGGAATAATTTGTCCGATACCAATGTCTTGAGGAAGAGAACCAATTTGGCCAGAACGTGTACTATCAAAGTTAAAACCAAATCGTGGAGGAAATATTTGTTGACCAAATTGAAAGTTTGGAGTATTACTCAGGGGAATAAAGTTGCTATCCAAGTTTCCCACAGGAGAAACATCATTGGAGGGAATGTTGATGGGTAGTCCTGGCGCTGGAATAACATCCTGGAGAGAAATTTTTAAAGTTAGTAAGGATACAAAATGAATTAGGTTATAAGTTTTAGTTTGTGATGTGCATTAGTTTGGCATGATTATTCTGAAGGTAACAATTAACTGCAAAGTCGTCTTTGAGGGATGTATTTTAGAGTTCCTTATAGTCAAACTGAAGCCATTAGCAGGTGTAATATTTTATTTATAATTCAAAGGGTATTTACGGGACTTAAGAATTAAACTAAAAATTAATGAGTAGCAAACGAGTCCTAAGTAAAACAGTTGAACATGCAGTTTCTAATCTGCAAGATTAGAAATAAATGAAAGTACAGAACTTTAGTCAAAAGTGTTATAACTCTATTCTTCTTAAGTAAATGTTATGGGATTAGTAAAAGTTTAATTACTTGGTAAGTTCGAGGGAATTGAGCAGCAACTTGAAGAACCAGCAGTGGAAGTAGTGTAATCGTAAACCACTCCTGTGGAAGAATCGTCAGGCAAGTCACAAATCACTGACGATAATTTATAACGCAAATTACTAAAGAGTTGTATTAAGTGTATATATAGACATCACAGAATATGGTGAAAGTTTAAAACAAAAGGAAAATCAATCAAACTCACCATGACGAGTAATTATTGAATGTGTTAGCAGGTTAGAGTGAGGAAGGAGAGTGAGTATGGTAGCACTGCTACCCTGCCTCAACACCTCCCTTACTCAGGTTACCTGACTGAGGTTCCCTAACTCAGGTTACCTCACCTACATTGTTACCTTCATTTACTGATACTTGCCTCATTATGCTTATATCCCAACATTCATATATTGTAATATAAATCTCGGACAAGTTAAACTATTTAATAAAAAAGTAAATACCAAGAGAGAGTGCAACAATATCATCATTATTATTCCCGGGTTAGGCTGTTGATGCTTATATTTTTTTTTATTTAAAATATATAGTATACATGCATATCACACAATGACGTAATCACAATACATGATAACCATTTATAAGAAAACATCCTTATAACTAACGGATGACAACCTACCCCTGAACATACATAATAAAATTCATTGTCTGCATCGCTCTTTGGCTGTGTAGACCCCCTTGCCTACGCTCTCGTAACCTGAAGCATGGTCGGGGGGGTTGTGTCTCTGTTGACCCCGCGGGAAATTTCTTGTTAAGAGGCGGGTTTGTTTTTCGCAGAGGTTAAAACTATGGATTTAATGCTTCGAGGTGCGATTTCCCTAGTTAGCTCAAATACTCTTACCCAAATAAAAGGAAGACTACGGCATACAGATGGTAATTTTATGGGGGGCGCGAAAGGGGCGCATAGAGTATTTTGAAAGTTTCTGCGCAGTTTATGAATCGGGGGTTAAACGCTTTCAAGATGTTTTTTGACGTTTCTCCTGCGTGCGTGTGGAAATGGGGGACGTGTTCGATATTATCCTGGATAAAGTTTAGAAAGTCCCTTCAGGCAAACGAAGCTGACATCAGAAAATTTTGAGAAATATGGGAAATTGCATTTGCTAGCAGGGTAAGTGGATAAAGGGGGCCCACACGGTATGCCGTAAGGTACATTTGCCTTAAATGACGTTGCGCCAACCCCATACCTATTGTGTTCTTCAAGATTTTAGGACACAGGTATGGGTTTTTTATCCTGGACAGCGGCGACGTGTCGCATTTGTGGAGGTTTAAACCCCATAGCGGCGGCATGTGAAAAGAACAGCCGTGACCAAACCTTTTCAAGAAGACCCAGCCCCAGCACACGGATGAAAGGGGAGACGTTCACAGAGGAAAAGGGGGTGGTCGTTTTGGGAGTGAGATGGTGGAAAAAGGTTTTTTGAAATGAGAGGAGCCTTCCCTAGCTGCCTGCACCCGGTCGTTCGATACCATCACGGATTGGTCCCCCCTGACGTGTTGGTATTGGTCGGAGACGAATGTCGGTGAGGATTTAGACGAAGTCTTAAGGACCTTGTCACCGCAAGTGGTGGAAGCTCCGTCTCCGGAAGACGTAGCTGGAGACTTTCTGAGTCTGGATTGTCAACAATATGAGACTCCGCAGAAGGACGATGTGGAAAATTTTTAATTTTCCGAAACTATAGCGCCTAATAGGTGTTTTATGTGCCGATATGAGTCAAAAATGTATTTGAAAATGGAGTAGAACCAAGAGTTCCCTTTGCGCATGCGCGGATATGCCGGGGTTGGCGGGTTTTGTTTTGAAGGTGGAGAGGAAGCAGGGAAAGCATGGAACCACGAAATTGGCATTCACGGCGGCCTAAGGATTAATATAGGCCTCATTTCGTAATAGGAAGTGTCGTAACTGTTCCTGGTGGAGAGTGAGTGATCGTGATTTACGGGACCACGGTAATAGAGTGGTAAAGTGAGTAAATAAGGGCAGGACCGTGGGTGACTGACGCGTCGTCCTGGACTGTGTCCCGGGGAAAATTACCCTTGGTTTAATCATCACTCATCGGTCTCAGCTCTTAATGGAGTGATCTCTAATGTGTATAATAATTATGAGCCATTAAATCGTCTTGTGAATTGTAATGTAATTAATGATAATAACGCTAAGTTAAGAGAATGCGTGAAGTGAAATAAGTCGTTTTGCTCCGAGTGAACACGTTAGACTTCGTTGTTCCCGAGACAAGGAAGTGAAGCTCCTTGAGTCACGACTTTTAAAGCGAGACAAACCAACGGATACCTCGTGCTGCTGGATTGAGAACCGTGTCGGTGTAGCAGGACATCGAAAATGAGACGGTGAATGGAGGAAATAAGGAGTATCAATCACCCACAGTTAAGTAACCCTTCTAGTTATAACAAACGTATGCTGGCCAGTGGTGTTATGTTGTAATTAGATAGGTTATGAGTGGTCCAGCTACATCAAGTGACCACCAGAGAACATCTGGTAAGTGGTGGGATTATGTACAAATGTTTTCCTTGATGGATGTATCCAGGTGTATCCTACCCCCCCGTTCATTCAGCTAAACTAATATAATCTATACAGTCCACAATTAATTAGTAGCACCGTACTTGTGGGTGCTATCCAATCCATACTGGTCTCGGATAGATATGGATAAGATTGTGAGGTCGAGGGGACCACTTGCCGTGACCAGGGGTGGTTAAGTTTTCTCACATGTCTACACGGGGTGACTACGGTAAACAATATGATTGTCTCCCAATGAGATTACTGGTATGTATATAATGTTGAGGTACATACAGGTAAGCACCCTAGAAAATTTTCCATATCTGCCCGTTGGTCCTTCGAAAACCGGATGCAATCAGTGAAAAAATTAATTGAATTAATTACTTAATAATTAAGTGACTGATTGAAGGAAGTGGGTGTAGGGTGCATGAGTTTAATCGATCGTGTGATGGATGATAATTAGCCCAATAAATTGCTAGCACATGGGTGGCTAGGATTTATACAAGAGTAAAGTGCAAGAATTACTCTTATAAGGCGTCTACTTAAGTAGTATAATGGGTGATTATTAATTCCCTAACCATGGCTGGGTCTGAGGAAGTTAGTGCGACTGGCAAGTCCATGGATGCCAAAGCAAAGAAAGCATCACTACAAGCTCGGAAGGGTCATGTTACTAAATCATACAAGAAGTGTATGGAGTTAATGAGACAAGAAATGGTAAACCCTGATGAATTAAAGCTACACCTAGATGCCTTAGGAAAGAGACATGAGTCATATAGATTGTGGTTTAAAGACTATGAAAAGAGCTGCTAGATGAATTGTGCAGATGATGCTGAAAGGGAGCGGCTGCTGGATCAACATTATGAAGTGGAGGACAACATTGTGTCCTGCAAAACTAAGGCTTTGGAGAAGGTAAAGGGTGTAAACAATGTTGTTGGTCAGCCTAGTAAGGAAAGTCAGAGGCATCTACCAAAACTCCCAGAATTATGTATGCCTGTGTTTAATCCGGGAGAACACTGGGAGGAGTTTTGGTCTATCTTTAAAGCAGTCGTACATGATAGGAGTGATTCTTGCAAGTGTTACCAAATTATGCTATTTAAAGGGACAAGTAAGGGGAGATGCGCATGTTCTCAACAAGCATTCCCAAATGTAGATGACTCCTATAGTGAGGCAGTTGACTTGTTGGAGGTCACTTACGGCAACTTGGAGCAAAGTAGGCTGGACCTAGTAGCTAATTTGGCTAATTTGAAGACTCCAGATCACAACCGCAACAGCTTACAGCAATTTAGGATCAAACTAGAAAGCACTCTTAAGACCTTGAGTAATAAATATGATCTGGAGGGAAGCAGAGTGGTTGTTGAGTGCCTTGATTCAGAATAAATTGAACCACAAGACCATTAGAGTGGTTATCTAACAGATATCACAAGGGTTACTTCAGGTTGGAAGAAATAAGAGTGGGACTGCAAGAGCTAATTGTCCAACTGCAGACCAGCCAACCCATTACCTCTAGGAATACCACGGCTACAGACCCCAGTGCACCTGCCAAGTTCCACAAAGGGAAACCTTATCCTAATATCAATAATCCTAAGCCACCTATTACACGGGGTTACGTAGGCACGTATCAAGTGACAGGTGCCAGTTATAGTGGTTCTCCACCTCCAAGCAAGAGGAGGAAGTACCACAATAAGGGTAGCATTCGCTGCCTGACCACGGTCGAGTGAGGTTGTGCGCTGCACCCCTCTGCTGTTCAGGCGAGCTACCTTGTATCAACATGGCGCTGAGTGTGAGGAGGCGCGTAAATACCATTGGTATTGAGCTGCTTCGTGGGGCGATTTCACCCTCTTCAGTGCAAGTCTTACTCCCGACAATCATTAGGGAGACCTATGGAATCCAGGACGATGAGTTGTATGGTGTAGCCCTGAATGGGGCTTATAGAATCTTCGTCAAACTGAATTCCACGTCCGTGTATGAGTCTTTGGTGACGAGGTTCCAAGACGTGAGTCTTGGACGCTACTCCAGCTGTGAAGGTGCGTTTGATCGACGTATCTCGCCACTTTACGTGGGTTAAGATACGTAATGTCCCATTTGAGGCAGATGAGGCTGACATAAGGAGTGTCTTTGAGACATATGGAACCGTACATCTGGCACAAAAGGGCAAAGTGGACGGCAGGTGCTTACATGGGACGTCCGGAGGGTACCTTTTCCCTGAAGATGACTCTGAGACATCCCTACCGCTAGTCGTGTTGGAGGATTTAGGGCGCAAATTATGGTATTTTATGCCCGGGCAAGGGCGTACGTGCAGAATTTGTGGGGGAACACCATATTGGGGGGAGAGTGCGTGAATGAGGAGGGCGCCACGCAAAC